GGGAGTACAGAGTTGGGGGAGGGGTGGAATAGGCAGGGGCCTCAGGGGCACCTCCCCGCCTCCCACTATGGATGAGCGGCTGCTGAGGCCGCCCCCGCCAGGTGGGAGCCGGGGAGGCCTGGGGCTGGTGTGTGGCAAGCCTCCTGGTGTGGATGGCGAGAAGGCGCCGAGGGAAGCAAGACATCGGGGACAGTCTGCAGCAGATAATGACCATCACGGACCAGAGCCTGGACGAGGCCCAGGCCAAGTGAGTGCCCCCGCCCCCCCACACAGACCGGCAGAAGCCCGTCCACAAGCTCGGTCTCGGCACCCCCAACTCCAGGATCCCACAGCTCTCTCCTCCTTGCTCCCGGAACCCCCAGATAAGTGACTCCTCTCAAACCTTTCTTCACCCCCAGGCCCTGAAACCTTAAAGAGGGGAACCCCAGGTGGTCTCACCCCCTCTCCTAACCTCTCACTGACCCCCCAGCCCCCTGCCCACCCTTTCCTCTCCAGAGCCCCCTCTGGCTCCTCCCCTGACGCTCCACTCAGCCCACCCCTCCCCTGCAGACCTGGGGGCCTCCACACCCCTCCCCAGAGTTCCTGCCTCTCCCCTGGGCCAGGGCCCAGCCGCCCTGTGTCCTCACCCCCGCCACCCCTGCTCAGCCCAGGACGCTCCACACACATCTCTGCTGATCCCTCCACTTTGGCTCGTACCCCTAACCCCTCTCTGGCACCTCAAACTGACTCTTCTCCCCAGTCTCCATCCCTTTTTCTGAAATCGACCTAGTCACCTTCATATCTGCAGTCACCCCCACACTCCCCCTCTGCACCCTCTAGACCGTCTCCCACAGCCCCCAGTTGCCCACGGGGCCTTCAGCCTGCTGCCCCCACCTTCCCTCGGTGGCGGGTGCCAAGCAGCTTCCCCACATCCCCATTTTGGGAGCTGATCTCGCCCCAAGAACCCCATCCCCATCCCCCCAGCCCCCTTCTACCCGCCTTCTTGTTCCCAGGCTCCCCCTCACCCTCGTGTTCCCCCTGCACGTTCCTGTAGCTAAACTTTCCTCTCGTTCCTCCAAGGAAACACGCCCTGAACTGCCACCGAATGAAGCCAGCGCTCTTCAGCGTCCTGTGTGAGATCAAGGAGAAGACCGGTACGCGGGGAACCGTTCCCCATACGCTCAGGCCAAGAGCTAGACAGCGTGGAGCCCCGAGGAGAGTGGGGGTCAGAGAGGTGTCCAGGGGGTGCTGGGGAGGGAACCAAAGAAACTCGGGTCTCAGGAGGGCAGAGAACCGGGTGTGGGGGTCCCCGGGTCCCTAAGTCCACTCGCCCGCGCTAGGCCTCAGCATCCGAAGCTCCCAGGAGGAGGAGCCCGTGGACCCCCAGCTTATGCGCTTGGACAACATGCTTCTGGCAGAAGGTGTGGCTGGTCCTGAGAAAGGGGGGGGCTCAGCGGCCGCAGCTGCAGCCGCAGCAGCTTCCGGGGGCGGCGTGTCCCCTGACAACTCCATCGAACACTCGGACTATCGCAGCAAGCTCGCCCAGATCCGCCACATCTACCACTCGGAGCTGGAGAAGTATGAGCAGGTGAGGCGAGGAGGCCGGAGTGGGTGGCGGGGCTTCCTCCGGGGGGACCCCAAGGCCCAAGGGCTCCTCACAGCCCACCGGCCCCCCTGCAGGCATGCAACGAGTTCACGACCCACGTCATGAACCTGCTGAGGGAGCAGAGCCGCACGCGGCCCGTGGCGCCCAAGGAGATGGAGCGCATGGTGAGCATCATCCACCGCAAGTTCAGCGCCATCCAGATGCAGCTCAAGCAGAGCACCTGCGAGGCCGTCATGATCCTGCGCTCCCGCTTCCTGGACGCCAGGTGGGGCCCGGGGGCCCATGCTGCCCGCCCGGCTCCTTCCCGTCCTCCTTCCCGTCCTCCAAGCCCCGGGCGCCCCCAGGGCCCCGGGAGCCTGCAGCAGAGACCCTGCTGGCCCGGCAGTCCTCACCGCCCTTCTCCCTCCTCTGTAGACGGAAACGCCGCAACTTCAGCAAACAGGCTACTGAGGTCCTAAATGAGTATTTCTACTCCCACCTGAGTAACCCGTATCCCAGCGAGGAGGCTAAGGAGGAGCTCGCCAAGAAGTGTGGCATCACCGTCTCCCAGGTACCGGGAGGAGTTGCAGCAGGAAGCGCCCGCCCTGTGACTGAGGGCCGTGCTGACCCTCCTTCCTGCCCAACACCCCCCAGGTCTCCAACTGGTTTGGCAACAAGCGGATTCGCTATAAGAAAAACATCGGAAAGTTTCAAGAGGAGGCAAACATCTATGCCGTCAAGACAGCCGTGTCTGTCACCCAGGGGGGCCACAGCCGCACCAGCTCCCCGACACCCCCTTCCTCCGCAGGTGGAGCCCTCGGCCAGCCTGGCTGGCTGCTTTGCACTCTTCCTGCTTTTGTTCCCACTTCCTGTCTAGGCAGGATCATAGGGTGGGGGCTTCTGGGGGTGACAGATGAAGCTGAGATGGGGTAGGGATGTCAGGGACACAGGCCACTCCAGCCGAGTTAGGTCCTGCCTCTCTTCCAGCCAGTGGCCAGGATGCTCAGAAGCTGGCCCTTGATGCTGGTGTTGCCGTGTGGAATGTGTGCGCAGCGGCATCCCCCCAGGGCCAGTTCCAAGGGCTTTTAGGAGACGGTGGTGTGTCTGTCTGCCACACAGACTGTTTTCGTCCCTAATTCCTTCTCTGCTCCCCCAAGGCTCTGGCGGCTCTTTCAACCTCTCAGGATCCGGAGACATGTTTCTGGGGATGCCCGGGCTCAACGGAGACTCCTACCCTGCCTCCCAGGTCTGACGCCCCTCTCCCAGCAGGTTCCCCGCCTTCAGCACGCCAGCGGTCTGAGACGTCTCACCGCCTGTCGTGCCTGCCTTTGTGCCGTAGGTGGAATCACTCCGGCACGCGATGGGCCCCGGGGGCTACGGAGATAGCCTCGGGGGAGGCCCGATGTACAGCCCCCGGGAAATGAGGGTGAGCGGACCCCTGCAGCCCCCCACCTCCCCAGCACCAGTGCCTTCCCGGCAGCACTGCCCCCACTAAGTTCAGAGCTTCACCCCAACTGTCTTCTTTCCAGGCGAACGGCGGCTGGCAGGAGGCTGTGACCCCGTCCTCTGTGACGTCCCCAACAGAGGGGCCAGGGAGCGTTCATTCCGACACTTCCAACTGATCTCACCCCTCGGCCACAGGGTGGGGGCTCAGAGAGGACAAAGGCATCCAGAGGACAAGCCCCAGACACAGGAGAAGCACAAGACGGAGAAGGGCAAATGGGGTCGCCCTACCCAGCCGACTCAGTGCTGGGGTTGCTGACTACATGGCAAGGAGAAGGGGGTCCCCTAAGGGGAAGGTGGGGTCTGTCTCCCCCTTTTTCCCTTCTTTTCAAGCTTTTTCTCTCCCCATTTCTCACACAGAAACACACCCAGAATCCTATCTTTCAGATCCTCTCTCTCTCATAGACACATACGCAACTATTCTGTTTCTCTCCCTCTTTCTCTTTTTCTCTCTTTCTCTTTCTGGGTTCACCCATTCTCCCTCCCCCACCCCTTATCTGCTCTGGGATCTGTGGAGACGCCAGCCTTGCCCTACCTACCAGAGATGCCAAAAATGGGGACACAACTTCTGGACAGATGACCTGGCCACGCCCCAGGCCTCCACCCCTCCCCCTCCAGACGGCTTTATTACCTCATATGCAGCTCATCTTAAACCAATAGAATTGCTCGGTGAACGAGAGTGTCTGACTCAGATATCT